ACAGCGAAAAGAAAAAGCGCGCGAAATAATTTTTACTTGTCCACAAATTAGCCATGCGCATCAACTATTTTTTTTAGGCAAAGGTATAAAAATAGCCAGTATTACTAATAAAGTAAATTAATATTTTTGTGTTTTTGTTACAGATAATTGGTTGTAATTTATTGTCAAAATTAATTAAATGAAAGAATTAAATGTTTATTTACTATATTTTATCTCCCAAAGTTAATTTTATTCATAAAATATTGACCACTTTTCTAACATAAAAACTCTTTGCAAAGATTTAAAAAAGTATCGTTCATTTTTAGACGGAGCATCTTAAAAAACCGTGCATGTTACTTTATAAAAAAAAACTCGTGCGTTTTACATTACGATAACGCACTTGTGCGTTTTACATTAGAATAACGCACAAGTGCGTAATGAAATACATTACGATGTTGAAATTGGTGTGATTTCAGCCACTTTACGAGCAAATATGTTATAAAATAAATTTACACTTGCAAATGTCACATTTAAGCTACTGCTCGTTCGCTACGCTGACCTCCCTGAGAAGAATGAACAAGAAACTCTAGGAATTGCTCTTTTCAAATAAACTTAAATGCTATGGAATACACTTTGCATCAAATTTGTGCTGATTCTGGAGCCGTGCCGTCTTTCCATACATCTTTATCTAACACGTAGTCTTCAATTTCGTAATATGATTTTTCGATCGAAATATTTTAATGTAGTTTTTAAACTTAGGTAATGATAAACTTAATACATGCTCCGGAATCTTATAGTAAAAACGTATACAGTTCCCCATAAAAGAGTTGGTTACCTTGGTTAAATGAAATCGTGGTACCGTGAGTTTGGACTTAGTTCTAAGATTAATATTATGGATATCTTCTTTCTTATTGAAATTATATATATTTTACGGGCATATAAAATATTTGAGTAAATGTACTGTGATGCCACAGTCATGATACCGGTCTTCTTAAACTTTTCTGTGAGAGAAAGCCGAGAGCCTAGACGGTACACAGAACGAATCGCTCGTTTTTGCAATACAAATATGGTTTGAATATCTGCCGCTTTACCCCACATGAGAATCCCGTAGGACATTATACTATGGAAGTAACTAAAGGAAACTAGTCTAGCAGTAGTAACATCGGTAAGCTAAGCTTAATGTGCTGACCAGGGATTATATATGTGGAAACCATTGCAGTTTACTGTCTGAGGTAACTCCCAAGAACACTGCTTTATTAACAAGGTCTAACTTTTCTTCGTTTATTTCTATGCTTGGACTAGTCGATTTTACGTTAGGTAATTCAAATTTAACACATTTAACAATTGTCTTCTTGGCATTAAGCAATAAAAAAACTACCTTAGGGAGGATATCATTAGCGAACGAGATGTCAGATCGCTTCGTAGAAGCCTCTGGTGACCACAAGCCTGGCAGTTATTTCCGCCAAACTATAACTTTAGCAATTTAAAGAGGAAACGTTACCAGCCTTCTGGGCATCATGCCCCATGGTGCGACCATCGAGAAAATTTTCTACAAATAAACTTTCTAGTATTTGAATTTGTATAATAAGTGTAAATTGCTTTTGTTGAAATAAAGGGGAACGTAATTGTTGTGTATTTATTTTTTATAATCTAAGTGATGGGACGAACAAGTGAATGACACGCGCACCTGATGGTAAGCGACACGCTTGTGCATAACGGTTGCAGTGCCATTCAGCTCTTTAAAATGCAAAGATCTGGGGCGCACTACCGCCGCGCCCGTCGCCTAGAAACGGAAGTTGACGAGTCCCACGTGCCTGTAGTTTCACCAGCACCCTTACCCTTCAAAACCGAAACACAGTAATACTGATATTACTGCTTGGCGGCACAAATAGATAAGGGGACAGTACTTTTCTAGACGAACTCTTTCACATGCAGCTCTACTGCTACGAAATTGTTAATATATGACTACGCCATAATCTGTGGGTATGACCTCGCCAAGACCTTTAAATTTATACTTTAATTTTGCAAATTTTGGATGAATGAATTTGTGACTCTGTGAAGATGACTGTCAAGAGCAACAAACGTATTTTTATTTATCGTATAATTATGTTAATCATTATTTTTCATAAAGAAACTACTATTCTTTTTAACATATACAAATTTTCATAAATGTATTGTTTTTTTATAATATTAAGTGACAGGACGAACAAGTCATGCACCTGGTGGTAAACTACATGCCTGTGCATAAGAGTTGCAGTGTCCTCAAAGCTTTCAGTCGCAAAGATCTGAGGGGCACTGCCATTGCGCCCGTCATCTTGAGACGTAAGTTGACAAGTCCCATGTGACTGTAATTTCACCAGCACCCTTACCATTCAAAACCGGAACACAGTAATGCTGACCTTACTGCTTGGCGGTGGAAATAGGTAAGCTGGTAGTACTTCCCTGGACGAACTCTTTCACAAGGTGCTCTACTGCTATTAACTGAACTGGTGATTATATTCTGTTGTCACCAACTTATGTTGGCCGACAAGAAACGTTCGCCAAAAGTACCATACGGTACTTTCCGTTTGGCGAATAAAGTGATACGTAGTCGCAAAATGATTTATGCATGCGCTGCATCAAGCGCCTCCTCCACATTAACTTAGTCTATGGCTCTGTGTGTTCCACTTCTGAAGATGATGCATTGTCCATCACGATCTGTTTTCGATGTGAATAAATATTTTATATACGCAAACAAAATACGATGTTTATAGTTTGTTTATTATTGGCAATGTTTAGTGTGACGTTTTTGGGATTGTTATTTTTAGTAAACGGTTCGTCGTAGTATTAGCTCTATAGTGGAGTTGGAAAATAACTGATTTATCAACATTATTAATTATACTGTTTTTTATAATATCAAGTGGAGGGACGAACAAGTCGTATGCCTAGTGTTAAGCGACACGTCTGCCCATAGCAGTTGCAGTGTCACTCAGAGTTTTAAATCGCAAAGGTCTAAGTAATTTGACTTTATCTTTAAAATTTGATAAAGTAATTAGGACGTTATGTAATAATCTCATTACAGAGTTCCAATAAAACCGACCTCAAAAGTTGTTGGAATGACATTATCACTCGGCGCCCTGCGCGTTCAATATAATAACGGTTTCGGGATGCTGTTGGGAATACCACGATACTGTAGCGCATCGTCGATGTTTGCTCAAGCGTAAATAACTTTTAGGCTGTGATGCGAAAAAAGACGGCGTCACTACTCTGTAGAATGCGTTCTGGTCCTAATAACATCCTTAAAACGTTTACGACTAAACTGGATGCGCCGACACTTCATCATTTCATCCAGGTTCTGGTGAGGTGATGGCGTAGTCGGCGCCTCGAGCGTAATATGCGTGTTTTATGTTTTGTCTCTGTATTTACTAATAATATTCCTAAGTTGAAATTATCTGTATTTACTAACAAGTGGGCCTTGGATGCCAAATAAATGATTTATTTATTATAATTATTATTATTATTTATTGAAATCGGTTACCGGAAAGTGCGCGAAACCAGATTCATCCCCTAATTTGCCACCCCTAGAGGTGAAATATATTCTTCAAATTGAAATGGGACTACTGAGGTACCCTCTTTCCAACAAATAAGAATCATGGAAATTGTTTCACAAACGCCGCGAGTTAACGCGTAACATACTCGTACATAAAAAAATACAGACGAATTGAGAACCTCCTCTTTTTTTTTGGAAGTTGGTTAAAAATACTTCGAATCTTGTAATTTCACGCTTTTACTTGTCATTACAATCTGAATCAGCAACAGACACAGTCACGAGACATCATCGAGTATATACATCGGGTATATAACCAGAAATAGAGACGAAATGAGGGCCATATATTCCTGGTAACACATTAGCGATACAGCTCTTATAAATATCAACTCTCGTTTGCACTGATCTAGAGACAGGTCAACTACTTACCTCTGTGTACGTCTCCGTATATTCCAAAAAATATTCTGTATTTATTGTAATAAAGATAATATTTCTAACAATGCCGTGCTCTCATGTAATTAGACTCATTTAAGTAGTTTATTCATAAGTCTTGCCGAATTTTGGCTTTAGTTACTTTAGATTGCCTGTTTGTATATTTTAATATTTGTTGATAATGATTATTTTGAGATAGTGTTGTTCTTGTAAGCAGATATATTATCGATATTATGTAATTAATGTCGATACTTTTTTTATTATTATTTTCTTTATTATTTCATTATTATTATTTTTAAAGTTTACCTACAAATGAAAAAAGAAAGAAAGAATGGTTGGAAATTATAAGACTGCCGAAAATAAACATTGGATCATATACCATCTTCGTTTCTTCGCTCCATTTTGAAGAGTAAAATTTTAACAGAACTTTGAATGTAACTAGATTACATAATAATGCAATTCCATCGTTACATTTATTGGTAAATAACTTTATATTTAATTTTGATTATTATAATATTGAATAGCTCATTACTTGCCTAGTAATAATAGCCTAGTATTCATCTTACTTTGATTACACTAAACTATACAAATTGGCAAACATAAAACAGTTTCAGCATTGAAGCCATACATTTGCATGTCGATATTGACTTATCTATGATTATGGTACAACACTAAATCCGCCATGTGTGTGGTACAATTTTGGTTTACGTAGGTACGTTTATTCCGTAGATAGGGCAGCTCCTTTCTTTTATTTTTTCCATCCTCTAAGGGTTATACACTTGATGCGTGGCATTAATATTCTATCTTTCTCGCACAATAACAATTCATCTAGTGGTCTGTATGTATTTTAACTGCCAAACTTTAAAAAAATAAAAAGTAATACGGATTAAATGTTATCAACTCATCACCAAGCATCAGAGGCAGAATTTTAATGCCATCTTTCGCCATATTAAAATATGGAGTAGGAAATAAATAAAATTTAATACAGAATGTGAAGAAGTCACAGTCAATTTGTTTTTGTTGTCAATGGAAACAAAAGTAAAGAAATAACTTATTTTGCACAGGGATAGTAATTGATATAATTTATTTACGTATTTTCATAATGAATGTACAACATTATAGTCTTAATTTGCTAATATACATTTTAGCAATGTGATTGTTTTTTTAATAACATAATATTATTTACCGAAAGTGAACAAATGAATATGAACTTTCTTGTCTTGGGTTTCCTTATTTTCTTCTTCGTTTTGTGTAACATTATTTTCCTTAGATGCAGGTTGGTAATTTTGTGCAGATTGTTCCGATGTCTGTGATTTTTCTGACACGGACCTACCTGATCTACCACCATGGTGATGATAATTAGAGTATCGTCTAGAATTTTCTTCACTAGCCTGTTCTTCAGCCTGACTATTTAGGTCATCCAGTCCTGGTTGTGTATTTTCAGGTATTGATCTACCGGTTCTACTACCGCCAGCGTAAAAGTGCCATCTGGAACCTTCTGGACCTTCATTACTAGCTGGACCTCCTGGTCTTTCAGGTCTGATTTGACCTCCCAGTCCTACAGGGGCGCTTGGGTCACGTGGACTAACAAATCCTCCGTGTGGTCCTTCAGTTCGATAATCAGGTACTCTATCGCCTGAAATAGATCTCGGTGGTCTTGGTCTACTAGGTGGTGGTACAACTGCCTGCAGTGAGGACTGGAAAGGTTAATACAATGATAAGTAATAGTAAAGATCTAAAAATAGTGACATAGAGTAACTCAAAGTGGTAATAAATGAAATAATAATCACGCTGGTAGGTAATAATGCAGAAAAAGAAAAGTTTAATGAAGACGATAGAGAACCGAAGGGAAAAAATATTTGGGCATCCCGTACATCACGACAGTTTTAGACTTAGACGCATCAAAGAACGGAAAATCGAAGGAAGGAGAGGTAGATGAAGATCGAGACGAAGTTATTTAGATAAGGGAAAAAGTTATGTCGTCTCGGATCAGGAAATCAGTAGGAATAGCACGACAGGGCGCGACTTGCGCGAGAGCGACATAAAGCGCGGGATCTCTATGCGAGAATAGCAGAATCTCGCACTTTATGTCGCTCTCGCATAAGTCGCTGGTACATTTATCTCTATCAATAATCATTAGCATGGATAGTCAGATTTTTTCCTTGTAATATTATTCAAATATTGATCATGGGCTAAAATTATTATCTGATTCATTATTGTGTGTTACAAACATTCTTCCTTTCAATTTTCTTACACATTAAATCACAATTTACAGAACACTTTATCAGGATAAACTGCACCTATCAAAGCATTATACATTAAAAAATATATCTCATTACATCGTAATTAAACAAGGAACGGTAAAAAAAGCACGTAATATATAAATAGAGTGTGAACTTTTGTAATAGAACACTTCGACTCCTCCTACGTAAAGCATCGTATGTCGAAATTGCCAAGTTTACAGGAGAGCATTAAGTTTTGAATTCACTGAAATGAGTAAAATACGTGCTTTAGCCTAGAAATGCTAAACTAAATTGTAAAATTATAAAATAAATTGTGGTTGTTCATCTAACTGACTCCTAGGATTTTATAATACTCTGTGTGAGTTTTGCCGAATAAAACTGAGGAATAAAGTCACATTAATTGATGACAATACATGACATTATGTGTTACAAACTACTTTATAAATCAACGCTTCCTAATATAGGTAGATGGCGCTAATCCTAAACAAAATAAAAGAAAAACCGACAGTATCCACAAAAATCTATGCAATAAGCGCCATCTAGTTGATTTGTTTGTTATCACTACAAATTAAAGTAGCTTTGATAAATTGCAGCTTGTCAATGTAAAACAAATTGGTTACAAAAATAGAAGTTTGGTACTTGTCGCGCGACATGTGGTTTACTAATAGGTACTAAATACCCGACTACGCTATATTGTATAGCGGTTAGCCTCTTGAGTTATTGCACCATGACGTTTATTAAATTCTAGTAGCAGTAGAGCTCCTTGTGAAAGAGTTCGTCCAGGGAAGTATTGGCACCTTACCTATTTCTGCAGCCAAGCAGTAATGTCAGCATTACTGCGTTCCAGTTTTGAAGGGTAAGGGTGCTGGTGAAATTACAGGCACGTGGGACTTGTCAACGTAAGTCTCAAGGTGACGGGCGCAGTGGCAATTCCCCTCAGATCTTTGAGATTTAAAGTTCTGAGTGGTACTGCAACTGTTATGGACAGGCGTGTAGCTTACCATCAGGCGTACGACTTGTTCGTCCCGCCACTTGATATTACAAAAAAAAGTACTTTTATGTTAAAACATGCTATGTGCCGTTTACATAGTATGCTTTAAAATAATACGCTACTAATGAGTTTGTGTATCGGCATTAATTCGCGCACGAATGCGAACATGCAAAAGTATTTCTCACACCCAAAAGTCAATCAAGAGCCACAAAAGAAGATTGAACTCAGTCACGATATGACGCATACAGTAGGTACCTCTGGTCCCACGTGTGCAGCAAGTACAGCATCTTCAGCATTAGCTCTAATGACAATGTTGGCACGTCCATCGTTGTCCACGGTAATCACGTTGCCGGAACATGAGGTGCCTTCCCTAGATCCCGTTATGACGTCACAATAATTGCCCGCTGGCAGCCCAGTCTGAAAAAATAATTGTATCTTTTATTTTCATCGTATGTTTTCTTCACTTAGCCAGGTGCTTTTACAACTACCAGCGGATGAAAGAGATGTCGCTTTATTAATTGCAATATTATTTTATTGCATATCAAATTATATTGCTTTATAAGTTCCCTCTACTGACATTACAAACAATATATAAATGGATTTCATATACAAATCGTTTAAGCCACCTACTTTAGATTAAAATAGAAGTGTGATCATTAATTTCATACATTCATATGAACTTTCTCGTTCAATGAAGAAACTAGCATGCACGAACAATTTCATAATAGGTGTTTCCAGGTGAAAAAACGAGGTCCGAAAGTTTTGCAAAGCTTATTGTTTCCATGAGGCTTATTTTTCATCCACGACATCATGACGCAGAAAAGAAAAAATTGTTCTTAATGCTTAATCTTAACGCTTAGTTTTTCATATTTATGTCGCTAAACTTAGTATTTACCTGTTTGTGCCATGTTGACTTGTCGAAACTTACATAATTATAAAGTAACAGTTCAAATACTCAAATTTTAAAAGCATTCAAACATTGACTAAAGCAATAAACTAAAAGTACAATGTATGTCCAATAGTTGCATTTCTATTTGAGAAAAGTATTTTATTTATATTCTGGTTTCTTGACCTCCAACGCAAAAAGAGGGCAGCTATCAGTTTGACAATTTTGTCTGAGAGTCGTATTCTAGAACTCTACTCAATGCTCAAGTCAGGACTTCAGGATTCAAAGCACTAGAAATCATACTCAAGTCCTTGCCATTAGAGTCGTATTTCCAGTGCTTGAAATCATACTCAGATCCTGACTTGAGCATTGAGTAGAATTCTGGAATACGACCCTAAGTATCGATGTTTCGTATGTGCGGCATCCACCGTTGCCAATTTGTAGGGAATTCCCCAAATTGCGGGGAATCTCAACTCAATTGTGAATTTTGTGGAGATTGGCGCTATGTGGGAAAATTCGGGGATTCTTACATTTTATCATTTTGTTCAATCTGTCGGTTGCTGATGCACCGCTAGTTTGATGGTTACTGATGCACGATATCGATATTTTTTTCAACATCGCACATGCCCCGCTTACATAGAATTATTCGGTAGGATAAGAGTACTTGGTTCTGAATTGTAAAATTACCAGTCGGTACGTGTTGAGTGCGCGACCCTTTCTCCCGCTTAATCCGGTCCTCGGTAGGAAGAAAAACGAAATCAGTTATTGCTAAACAAAGCCGAGCAGTTGGTACTTCCACACGAAAGCTTGCCAGTCAATAAATATTACATTTAGGTCGAAACTTAATTTATTCATTGATTATTTCTAACCTTAGTATAGTATCATGAAATACGCAGCAATAAAATGTGTTACTTAATTTTGTAAGGCTAAGAAAATTTTTTGAATGTTAGTACAGCCATTACACAGCACAAACATAACCCCGTTGGGGTGTAGCAAATTAATAGTACTCTCGAAAAATTAAAAAAAAACAAAACATAAACTGAAAATTATTAAAATAGACACATTACGGTATGAAGAGTTAAAGCGTCCATCACTTCTTTCACATCATCTTATAGGAGTGTCCATGAAGTCTCTCACACTGTAGTAGCACCCATTTATCAGAAGAGACTTAATTTAGCTTTGAACGAATTGTCATTTTCTTGTGTCTTAGGGGAATCTGGTGTTTTATTATAAATTAATATACAACTATAGAGCGGGCTTTCTCTAAACATTTTTAGTTTCGGAGTCGGTTGTACTAATTTTGTATTTCGAAGTTCGCTTTTACAAACTCAAATTCTAAAAGTTTCTAATATGTAAATAGACGGAAGAGTTACTATTTTGTCAGTTATAAAATGCGACCTGCATGTATATTAGGCGTATGTTGTTTGTGTTTAAAATATATAAAGTAATTTTTGAGGATTTTGAATAATTGGCAGTGGCAACACTGGTGGCATCATTGTTTCCTAATGGATGGACTGATCTCAAAAAGAGGTTTTCTTTTTGTATTTGAAGGCTAATTAATTCAGGATGGTTCTCAGTTATATTTGATGAACATCTGTTTAGTCGTAATAACGCACACACTCAACATAGCCCCGCACTAGGGAAATCCTGTGTCGCGGGTGCTATGGACACACACATAGACAGCCACAAATTACACCCAAACTCACGAGAGAAATAAATGTAGTCCATATAAATATTTCTCCCGGCCCGGGAATCGAACCTGGGACCTCTGCGTGGCAGTCCGGCATGGTAACCGTTCGGCACAGAGGGAGTCGTAAAAGGTCTTTTCCTAGTTAATGTAGGAATCTCAGTCGTAAGATGAATAGGTGTTTATGTTACTTGACTACCTCGGTGGTCTAACGGCTTACACTGTGGGTGCTGAATGCGGAGGTCCCGGGTTCGATTCCCGGTAGGACGAACTTTTGAAATGAACTTTTCTGAATTGGTTCTGGCCTGGGTGTTCTGGGATGTGTCCTAGAGTGAATTCCGTTGCTCTGGTACTCATAGTGTATGGAAATCCTTAGTTTGAGTCGAGGCTGGGCAATTGGGTTGTCTGGCACATTACTTCCACTTGTCCAATCGGCTTGATATGTGGTATACTATGAAAATCCGATGATATGACAATAATTATGGTAACTTTATACCGTAACTTTGTAGACTACGCAAAACTTCCGCTACTTACAGTAGTACCATGGGGTATCAATTCACACAAATTAACTTTAGTACATATTTAAAACTGTGGACGACGACACTTGGACAAAATAAAATATAAAGAATTGAATCTGGAAAACTTGAGGTATATTGTACTAAATGTCAAATATAAAAAAAGAAATGCAACATTATTTAAAAACATTTTAGGAATGTTCAATCAAAATCCATTTACAATTATAATAATTAGTGAAAACAGCAAACTGCCGTTGAACACATACCAGATGGCATTTTTTTGAATTTATTCTTTATGTTTACTTTAAAATATTAAATTAAAAGTACAAACTCAGCTTCTTAGCGGTTTTATTATATTTTATTTTATATAACATAAATACAACGCCTGAATAAGAACAATAACCTTGACTAAAATGTAAAGCTAACCATCGGTTGGCCTTTTCGAATATTACTATAATCGCATCGCGGATTTATTTGGTACCATCTATTGATCAGCGTTAGAAACAAAATAAGCGCCCAAATAAGCGGATTTACTAAGGATAACACACAAATATAAATCGAAAATTATAAATCTTGTTTTGACTCATTAAATTGGTTTTTTGGAATGCACTGTTTTGTGTCGGAGGTTTTTTAAATATAATAATAAACAAATTTAAGTATATATCCATACTAATATAACGTTCGCTTAGAAAATCTAGTGATTACTTAATAATGATTCATAAAAAAAGACATCAATAATAGGTATTATGATTCTATATCGCAAGTAAAAACAGCTGTATCTACTGCAATGATTGCTGATAATGGATTATAAAAAAACCCTAATCCGGATTACACTAAACGGCACTGATTATTTAATGTTACTTCAAAATCAGAACTTGTGTTTTTATCGGTAAAAATTACACTTGTAAAATGATAAACCAAGCCTTAAATGATGTTTTGTTTGTTGATCTATGGAACAACGTTGTCATCGACTCATATACTTTGCAAGTATCTATCAATAAACATGATATTCATTTATGGGAGGTACTTAATTGAAACTTACCTGTTTTATTTGGTTAGTCAAAGGATTATTTATCTTTAGCATTTAGCGATAGAATCCGAAGTGACTATATACTAATTATGTATGGTTTTATCGATTTCTTAGGTTTTTGCGATTGTTAGACATAGGTACGTACGACTGATATTGACTGATAGTTGTCAGTCGTGTTCATTGGACCTGTAAGGGCCCGAAACGTTGGTTTCTTTGAAAAAAAGAAAATATGCATTTAGGAAACGAAACTATTTTTCCGGATTTAAATCGCGTATATTTGTTTTTTCAAACAAACCGACGTTTGGGGCCCTTTACAGGTCCCAACTAGTACTTAGTCTTATGCCGATGAATTTTCAATCCTATTACTGATGAAATCAAAATTCGTAAGTTCTAAGTGCACATGAAAATAATATTTTTTATTTTACGGTTCAACATAGGTAGGTAATTCACAAACTTACCTTCGACAATTAGCCATCAATATTGATAATTTACGATGACGATTAAACAGCTCAGCCGTAAATTCTGTCAACGGAGTGATAGTGACTAATTTGTGAAACAATTATATGCTTGAAGTTCCCGTGACATGCGACAGGACATGTTGTCTTTTGCGCATTAAAATGTCGGAAGTGCTAAATTCGTTTTAGTGGAATAACTATAAAACTAAAGGGGTTAAAAAAAAACCATACCGATATTATAGTCCATCGTGTATAAATATCATTAATTATCTAATTTTTGTCCTAATAACCTGTAGCATTTCGAGAATAAATCGAAAAATGTTTGTGAAAATTAGAGGTCATTTCGTGAGTTTTATCTATCGAGGAAATTTTATTGTTTTATGTTTCTGATTAATGTCTATGCTTGAATATGTCGTGTAGTTACTCATACAATATTTTAAAGTGGATTTACCCCTCTAAAATCAAATCGAGATTAGGAATTTCTCCTCTGCTCCCTCTTAAGTTGCAAGCCCACTAAGTGTACGCAGTGAAACAAAAAGCACCGCACAATTGATAATCTCAGTACAGAGTACTATAAAAATCGACATCAAAAGTACGTGGAAGTTCATATAATTACCAAGTTTTATTGAAATCGGTTACCGGAAGGTGCGCAAACCCGGATTCATCCCCTAGTTCGCCACTATACGGACTTGATACAGGAGATAATAAAAGTCGGTTCCCGGGTTCTACCCAAAGTGTATTGAGAGAGAAAAGCGCCTTGAATTGGAGAATAGCAAAATCAACCATTAAAATAATTGCTCCTTATAATAAAATTTAGGCGCTATTTATAAAAATGAATCTTTATGGGTGACCAGTTCATGGGAGCCACCCTTAGAGGCGAATGTTTTTCTTTAAAATTAAATGGAACCACTTTGGAGATACCCTCTTTCCAACAAAAAATAATCATGAAAATCGGTTCACAAATACCGGAGTTATCGCGTAACATACATGCAGAAAAAAAATATACAGTCGAATCGAGAACCTCCTCCTTTTTATGAAGTCGGTTAAAATAAACACACAACATTTTACGAAACATTTTTTTCTTTCTACACTTACCAGCTAAAAAATAAACCGTTTTATTTTATTACATTAATAAATCATATCCCCGTATGTACATTAAAAATAATAAATAATTGAAACAACTCACCTGCAAAACTTGAACCAGATCATTATTCTCCAAGTTAAAAGCTACAAACGCTCTGTTGCCTCTACTGAAAGCAATCTGGTTGTTCGAGTTGTCCCACCAGTTGGTTACATTGGTGTTACCAGCCGTATTCCTGAAGGCAGCCATCTGATAGATTTGACGCCAACGATGCTCGCACACCCAGCCATTACCACAGGTATCGTCCTGGAGGAAATTATAGCAATGCAATGTGTTAAAGTACATCGAACGTTAAAAATTTATCAAAATATTTTGTTGTAAATTGTACCTTACCTCAAATGTAACAATGACAGTTTAAGCCATTGTCTAGCTAAATATACATAGGAACAATACTTATAAAATCACATATATTTTATTTTTTATTAAATCACATATACTACTACCACCTCCTTGCTGGGTACCTATTATCGACCTTTCTAAATTCGAGTCCTAACACCGACCTATTTTAGAAAATTTCTTCAAAACTTACACAGTTTACGTGGCGCAATTTATTGATGCATTCGAAGGATATTTGCCTCAGCAATAAAGCAGGATTTCCTATAATCGTAATAACTCTCAAGCCGTCAGGCATTCGTGACTTAAGTGAATATAGTATGATATTTGTAACCGGAAACTACGATAACTCCTAAAAAAATTTAGTAATAGGTGCAACAGGTCGGTAGTTGGAGAAATCTATTCGTATATTTCAAATGTGTCAGTAAATGAGGCGTATACCTTTTCATCGCTTTTGAGTTGTGCTTTGTTACATGCACTTTAAGAATATTTGCATAGTGTAAGAATTAAGGCTATGAGATATATATGTGTGGATACAAAATATTGTAATTACTCCTGTCGTCAGACTTATTTACAACTATGAATCTTTAAGAGAGCGGTTAATAGATCAAAATATTTAATATATATATTATGTATGTTCGTAAAAATATAGCATTATTTCCGAAAAATAGTGACAAGCATAACCTTCTCCGCTAATTATAAACTGCGTTGCAGTTTGGCGGGCTTTAAATTTGTAGCCTAGTGTATTTTTATGTAATAGAAGATTTATTTATTTTATATCTATTTTTAATGTTAAAAACAAAAATAAACTTGGGACCCCTACGTTCAGATTTTTCTAAATTAGTTCATCGTGCAAATTTATGAGAAAAAATCCAAAGCTTACGTTAAAAATGAAGTATTAAAATAAAGTCATTATAAAATCAATTATTATATAGATTAAATGAATTCATAATGATCCAGCTGTTAACATAAAATGTTTGTGATATAGAACACAAAAAACATTCTTATCATATAAACTTGCCCTGAATGAATAGTAGTTTTAATCGATGTGACGATTTCAAGTCTTTTTGATTACCTACGAAATACAAGAATTTGATTTGATTAAACACTGGCTGCTCGCCAAGGGTATCACTTATCACAAACAAAAATAACATAATTACGTTTTATCGGTCTAAATGCATTTTTTCTAACTGCTATAAATTCGAGAAAGGTTAAGGAGCCCAGTAATACCAATTACCGATATTGTTTACCTTTAATTAAATTTGTATTGAATTGATATTCAATTATTTTTCGTGAAATTACTCCACTAGTTTGTTATAATTATTAATACAAAGATTGAACACTCAGAAAAAATTCCTTTGATCTGACCGGATTCAGACGCTATGCCATTGTCACGGAACGAACCAGCGGACCTCACGAATGTTTCTATGTGCTTCTAGTCGGATCTTTGTACAAATACAAACCAAAGTTTTCAACGACTTTTTAGCCGTAGTGCCATCTATGAGAAATGTATGAAAGTATTTCGTCACCCAGTTAGGTAATTATACAGCTACAAGCCCGGGCTACCTGACCAATTCTTTACCTTTCGCGACTTAGCAGTCATTACCATATTAAACGAAAACGTCACGTTCAGCTTTTTTCGATGCGAGCGGCTCAGAACCACTCAAAGTGGAGAACTTTTGTGTGAACATCTACTTGTAGGGTATTATAATAATGAGTTTTCTTGATAAAAATATTTTTGATAAATTTTTGCTATCTGATTTTTCCCTTGCGCTCACACATAAACAAAATTATTTGTTTGAGAATATGAAGGTAAGTTTAAGTATTTGATAAGTTTGGTTTTTTTAATAAGTTTAATATAACTTTTTTCAAATAATGATTATGGCAGAATTGTTCATTTTAGTTCAGAAATTAGTAAACGAAATGGTAATTTATAAATACGTTGCAATAATTATATCTTGGGGAAATTTTAAAGTAATAGTTTTACATCAGGTATTTTTTGGAAAGTGATAATTTCTTTCTTAGATAAATAAAAAATTACCAAAAGGACGTCAACGACACGATCTAACAATATGCACAAAAATAGCTCTTTGCATGCTACATAACCACACTATTTCCATATCAAATAAACGTAGAGTGCTTTTGGTGACCAGGGATTAAAAAAATCGAAGGAAGAATAACCTCTAAATCATCAATTTTCACGGAACTAATGTTCAATTTAAAAGTCGGGTTTATTTCGATGATGGTTACGACGTCATTACCTTAATAAAATATTTGGACCACTATAAATAGGCCCCTCTCTGCAACAAGAAATATCCACTATCATAATTACAACCTTGATGTTTTCTTTCTGGATTTCAGCGTACAATATCAATTAAACGAAGAAATGCCAGAGGTCTCAAATGTACCTACAGGTAGCAGTAGAGCTCCTTGTGAAAGAGTTCGTCCAAGGAAGTACTGCCTACTTACCTACTTCTGCCGCCAAGCAGTAATGTGAGCATTAATGCGTTCCAGTTTGGAAAGGGTAAGGGTGCTGGTGTAATTACAGGCACATGGGACTTGTCAACTTATGTCTCAGGGTGACGGGAGCCGTGGTAGTGCCCCTCAAATCTTTGCGATTTAAAGCTCTGAGTGGCACTACAATTGTTATGGATAGGCGTGTCGCTTACCACCTGGCGCTAGACTTGTTCGTCCCGGTATTATAAATGGTATTATAAAAAAATGTACAATTAGTGCTAGGGATGCTGACCCCTAGTGTTTACAAAGCGCACGTTAAAATGATGATTTAAAAAAAAAATTAAAATAGTGTTACTTACCGCGTTAATAGTTGGAGACAGAATAGCCTCATTACTGTCACTCGGAGGGCCCTGTTGGTTATTATCGAAGAAGTAGCTGCTCATCACTCGAGGCTGGCCGTAGGGGTGAGCAAGGTTGAATGCTTGCGCGGCCTGGAATTGAATATATAGCCGTATCAGTCAGATGGACACCGAAATCTCACCTTAAAGATCAGAGTATCGTTTTACCTCTTTGGTATGCAAGCATTTTCCTTTAAGGTGTACAAATCAAACGGTAACACCAAATGGGAAGTGGTAACCGCCGGTAGAAATTAAGTATACATATTGTGACAAAATTATCCCTAATGCCGACCGTGGTGGACATGAAATAAGATTTGTGTCTGGGAACGATATCGAACGATAACAAAACAAGTGACGTTCTCATTATTTGCAATCATTATATATAAGTATATATAATAATCAGTACTTAGACATAACAAACTTTGGAAATAATACACATATAGTCGTGAATACTAGCGCTATTTTTATGAGTTCATTGAAATAAAGGCGACGTTATGAAGAATGTCTTGAACTGTTTTACCAAATAGTTTCGTAATTTGATCTTTGTTGTTATAATATAGTACAAGTGTGTATTATATAGGTTTTTACATTTTAATGTGAGGCATTCATTGTATTTCCTAAATTCAAAGTTAATCAGTAAGTACAAGAACGCTTAGTATAGAAAACGCTTGTTTAAATCTTTTTATTAGTGAAAATTTACGCGTTTTAGAGCCCATGTAATTTCGAAACTACATTAATTTAATTAGAAAATGATAAAACACGACCTTCGAAATTACTTTGCAGATTATATCGACTAACACTAATGAGTTTAAATAATTATCGAAATGAGAATCACATTTCATTTGGACGGTGCACAAGAACACATCAATCTTGACCCCTTTTTTACCACATCAATCACCTGATGTCAATCTATTTCCTGTACTATGAGTATTGGTACTCATAGTAGAGGAAATGGATTGACATCAGGCAGACCCAATTTAAGTTAATTTACCTAATTGGTTCTACCGGGAATCGAACCCAGGACCAAGACCTCCTCATCCAAAGCCCACAGTGCAAACCGCTGGTCCATCAAAATCTTTGGACATTCGGTACTTCGTCCTTATTGCAAATAGCATAAAGTTGAATTTAAAACCTATTAATTATTCTCTCTTTCACGTTTCTTACTATTACACCTTCTTTATCCTCATAAAATCAACAACATACTCGTGTAATGGAATCCTTTCAGAAAAACTTCATGTGCAACGTCCTACAGTACAAGCTCCATTAACAAAACGTTATTAATGTGTAGGTAATTAAGAGAGATTTAAGTAGTGCAATATGGAACACCAATATAAATGTACCATAATAAAGGCAATGTATGTATATTGTATTTCAGTTTAATTAGTAACAAAATATGTTGTATGAAAATCTGTGTTTTAGTTGAATATCGTCCTTTGAAATATTAAACAGCTTTAGGAAAAAAAATGATAAACAATACAAATATGCGTGTTTCATCAGATAGTTTGTTTAAAGAACTAAATATAGAACTAAATTAATTTTGTTATGCTAAATTAAGGTTCATTTTTGTTACACCACGTATAATTATTTATACTAAATTAATAGAGAATGAAAATATTCAAAATTTATTTTCAAATTTACATTTTTGTGTCTTTTTTCTATACTTGTTACATAGTGTAACTAGTCACATATGATATATCACGGAGAGTGCGCGAGGGAATTGCATGATTTGCCTTCCCTTTCCGTTATCGGAGGACTAGGACGTGGGCTGGGGATCCACCCCTATGTTGTGGATATTCCCAGGATACGCACGAACCAGTCTGGAGGGAGAGTCCCCACATAACCCCTGAGTCTCCCTGGGCTCAGGGGTATCCATAAAGATTTCCCCCCGTAAAAAAAAAAAAAAAAAAAAAGATACGCACGAAGCGATTCGCTTCCACATTTAAAGCGCTAAAAGCGCTAAATGCGCCCTAAAATGTAGGTATATGAAGGCGTAGTAACTGGGCGGTCGCCGCGCGGCGGCCGCACGAAAACTTTTCGTCTCACATAACTGGGCGGTTATATGTCGAGCGGCTAGGGAGTGGAATTCCCTACCTGCGGACTTATTCCCCGAATGCTATATCTTGAATCTTTTCAAGGCGAGTGTGAATAGGCATTATTTAGGTGTGCGTACTACATCGTCGACTTCATCGTCACTTTCCATCTGGTGAGATGGAGGTCAAAGGCGCGCTTATTTTTTTAATAAAAAAAAAGGTACGCACTAGTAATGAATAACTTAATAAGCTCTTCACTGTATCGTTCGTAGCAATTAGCTCTTTTGAATGCCGTAATGAAGTTCCAGAAACCTGACGAGTGAGTCTTTTACTTATTCGCAGAGAGAAGAAAAATGTACGCAATAGGTACAAGACTGAAACTTACCTTATAAGCCTTCGATTCCTTATAAGTGAGAACATCGTTGTCTCTCTGAGTGTCGTGGTTGTCGATAAATGTAAGTGCAGTGTCGCTCGGCGACAGACCCCATTGCTCACCCCACGATACTAGCCATTTTGCTTGGTTTTGACCGCGAAATACTCTCTTTAGCTCCGTCCCAACCTGAAAATTAAGAGCGTTTTTTTTTAATTCTGTAAAGTGTTTTGTATATACTGTAGTGAAAGTATTGTTGTGTGGACGATAATGTTTAATTATAAATAAATAAATAATAAATAACGCACACACTCATACTCACCAGGGAAACCCTATATCGCGCGTGCCATGGACACATGCATAGAAAAACCACAAATTACACCCAAATTCAGAAATATATGTAGGCCATACAAACATTTCTCCCGGCCCGGGAATCGAACCCGGGACTTCTGCGTGGCAGACCACCATGGTAACCGTTCGGCTACGAAGGCAGTTTAATGCTTGATCGTAGACAGATATTAGTAGAACAACGGATAAAATTTATAGGGCAGGTATGGTTTGAAACGTGGAGAAAGAACAAGCTGGATACACTTACTTATATAAGCCAACAAGCTTACGTCAACTTAAGTCAACAACCTTGAAAAGCACGAGCACAAACTACACATAGTTGAAATTAAAATGTTGAAAATGTCAAAGTCAGCAATGACTTGATAGGTCAGAAGATCATTTAAAATGACCCAGTGGCAGAGAAGCTTTAAGAGAACCGACACCGCTGGTAAGGCCATGTAAGCAGAAGAGAAGAAAGTTACTCCGAAAAGGTAGTATTGAATATCCCCACAAAACTCCGTGGAAGAAGAAGATACAGGCTACACGGTCGACCAATGACGAGAAAGGTCTAAACGCCCTAAACATCTCACCAACGACAAAACAGAACAGAGCGTCCTGGCTACAATGTAAAAGGAGGCAAGTATGGCCGACAAATAAAATAAGAATAGTGCAGATAGAAGAAATGCAGTACTTCTTATTGACATTTTTATACAAGTGTGGCAGATTGGTATGTCAATTATAGGATCATGAAATAGAAATTAAATGCGAGTTTGTATATGCAAGTCGATACTAGAGATGAAACGGATAGTGATTTGGCCGGATATCGGATACCGGATATCTGGCGGGTATCTAGGCCGGATATCCGGATATACGGCCGTCGTATTTTTGATCCACTGCCGTAAACATGTGGCGACCGATTTATGGCGCGCATGGCCATGATTGATTGCTTAGTGAATGATTGCACTTTCACATTGACGATTTGATTTGTTGTGAGCACTGGGTTTTTATAAAAACTATTAATTTATTCGATAATACAAACAAATGCATAACAGAAAAATATTAACAGTGAAAATAATCGCAAATTAGCTACATGCACATTTCGCGCGGTGGAGAAAGAAAAAAACAATTACATCAGCCTTTGGCTATATTCAAAATTTTTATAAGTGTAAGCCTAGCACATAGGTTTCTAAACTTTTTGGCTCACTGCCCACTTAGGAAAGATAAAAAAATTTCAACGCCCACCGCCATTGTTCCAATTTGATTTCATTAATTTGCTTGTGATCTAACTAATCCTGAGCCTTGATACCAAATTTTATTATACACTTATATATGCACTATATTATATACGCTTCATTACTATACGTACACATTGTATTTGAAAATAGTTCAAATGGATCGTGATCACAATCCTTTCATTTGGTCGTCTGGCAATAACAAGTACTTACTACTTAAAATTTAACAAAGTGTGCAAGAGTTTATAGCGCAAAACTGTCCTCTGAAGCTGGTCTCGTTTGTGAAAATAAATAAAACCAATTTTTACCACTTAATGCAGAAAAACTGAAACTGTCTTCAGCCACCATAATTTACCTTTATAGAAATTTGAGTACTAAATTTACAGATAACGTTATTCACCTTCGTTATTTAGGTCTTTCAGTCACAAGTAATAAACAGATTGTCAACGATCCTATAGTTGCTGTTATTCTATTACTATCAACTTTTGATCAATAATTCAATTCATTTGATAATAAATTTTTCTCAAATTTAAATATCCGGTATCCGGCCGGATATTGTTCTACTATCCGTTATACGGCCGGATAGTAAAAATAGACCGGATGGACCGGATACCGGATAGTTACCAGATATCCGTCTCATCTCTAGTCGACACATTCATAAATACAAAAATTATAAATGACACGATGAATATTCTAAACACCGAGCGAACGCGTACGTGTACACACACAAGTCACATTGCTACGTTAGTATGGAGGTAGCACGTTCCGAATCCGAGATTAAACAAATCTAGAAAACTCGGACCCACTTCGAATATCGCTTCTTGTGCATTAAGTCCGATTCGAATCTTCTACACTTAGAGATAAAAGTTATCCCTGTGACATTTCGAACCGTCATTTCTCGGATTCGAAACTGGGGGTCTACTCTCGATCTCCGTCCGACATCCGTCCGAAACAATTACTGCCAAATAAGCAATAAGTACTTGACCAAATGAAAAGACGCGTGATGCGAATGAAGCTTCATACTGGATACTTGTCTTTTAATTTTGTCGAATATTACTTATTTGACAGTAATTGTGCCGGACGGATGTCGGACGGAGATCGAGAGTAGCCCCCTGATACGAATCTGACGTAGTGCGCATACGCTCTTACACTATTTGCCTCATAATACTACGCCCTAAACCTACTTTTAAAACAAGTACGCTAACAGTCAATAGCGTTTCCTTCTCGCAGAGTACTTGTTACTTTTATTGCTAAAACAAGAGTTTCGTATGGAAAAACAGACTATTAGTAAAGCCCTCGTTTTTGCACAGTAGCTAAATTATGTGCATTATTATTTCAATTACGGCCAGACGCTGAAGTGTCAAAATATAAATAAAACAATAGACGCGAGGCGTCCGTGGCCGTATAACTAATTCAGTTAAAACAAAATAGGATGAAATCATAAATCATCGTTTGACGACCTCCTTGGTCGAGTGGCTTACACACCGGTGTCGCCATCTCTGGGATCCCGGGTTCGATCCCCGGACAGGTCAATGTAGAAAACTAATTTTTCTATATTGTCTTGGATCTGTGGTACCGTCGTGGCTTCCGATTTCTATAACACAAGGGCTTTAGTTATTTACTTTGGGATCGCAACACAATGCATATGGTGTAGTCTAATATTCAAAATTAAAACATCTTTTATCAGAATTGGACGAAGAAAGACGACTCATTTTTTTAATAACCTCAAGTGACTGATGGTAAGCTACACCGTCCATAACAGTTGCAGTGCCACTCACGAACTTTAAATCGCAAAGGCCTGAGGGGCACTGCCACCGCGCCCGTCACCCTGAGACTCACATAAGTTGACAAGTCCCATGTGCCTGTAATTTCACCAGCACCCGTACCCTACACGCACGGAACGCAGTAATGTGAGCATTACTGCTTGGCGACAGAAATAGGTAAGGTGGCAGTAATTTCCTAAACGAACTCTTTCACAAGGAGCTCTATTGCTCCTAAAAGTGTGCCTTTTAAAGTAACTTGATTAAAGTTGACGTGATACGATATGATAATTTAAATGTAATAGATACGTACAAATAATCACAAAATACACGCTTGTAAAAAAGGAGCCATGTTCAGAAAAATAAACGAATGGGTTCGTCAGCTTCACGGACAAAAACCTCAACCTCAACCTGTTTTACGCTCCACTGCTGGACACGGGTCTCTTCTAATTGTGTATTTTTAACCGACGAGGCGAGGCGAGACGAGACCATTTTTAAAACTTGTATGGCAAAATATCAATTCTCTCCTAGCGCATCTTCGGTGGAAATAGTCGGTATTGACGAGTATGGGCGAGACGAGATTTAAAATATTTGTTGATGTAACATTGAACCATATTGCTGGCTACATAGACTCTTTATTAAGTCTCCAATGGTTAGGTTCACGACGTTTCGTACGATATCGCGCGTGCTCGCGCGAGATGTGGTTTACAGTAGCGTGCATTGAAATGTAAACGTTCACACATTTTCGAAATTATGTAAATATTAGATATTTCAAAAAATGTATCTTGTGCTGTTTTCAAAAATATGTAATCAAGACACCATTTTAAAAAAGGTATACTTTCATTTCAGAGAAAAATAAACAAACTACAGTCAATGAAAAATATATAGTCCTGGTGTCGTACATGTATCCATATCATTTTCGTAAATATTTATACAATACATAATTATATATTTATAATTGCATTAAAATGTACACGATTAGGATTGCGATTTTATCATAATTATGTAACCTCTTTTAAAAATATTGCATCGTTTTGAAAAATATATACACATATAGTACATAGAGTATATATACACAATATAGTTGCAATATAACGTAAACATACCAGCGCCAGTTGTAAATTTTTGTATATATATTTTGCTTGTTCGTAATATTTGCCCTGGTATAAAAGATTATACAGGCTGTATATTTGAAAGTGGGACATACTTATAGAGTGCGTTATATTCCTGATTCTGAAGAAATAATAAAGTAATGAACTTAAACTTTACAATTTTTTTTTTATCAACTACTACCAGAGAACAACATTAATTATCGACATCTATGCACATCACTATTATTGCTCCGACGCAGCGGTGGGTGGCGGCACGGCGGCGAAAAACAAAACATAGGTCGAGGGTGGAGGCGCGGACGCATACGCGAAATTGCTGTTTGCAAATTCAAACAGAGCATGCGCGACCTTGATCTAATGAAGACACGTAAATTATTTGTACTTCCGCTCGCCTGATCGCCGCAAAATGGATATTTATTCTAACGTCGAATTGAATTGAGATAAGTGATGATAGTGTGAGGCAAACTATTGAAATGTTCCCAAATCGGAATTTACGCGGAGGAGATGAAAAGTGTCGAAGTGTTGCGTGAGAAAAGCACTTTAAAGGTGGGTTTAGATTATAGTCCGTCATTCTGACCCAACTGATTGGAAACTTCTCACATTTTCCAAAGGCTATGAACTTGAATGTGCGAGTTTAACCAGACGCTTTTCTTGTACGTAACTAGGAATTAATCAAAGGTACATGTCGTCACGGGAATTTGAATTTGAACCGTCGTCCTTTGAACTACCAAATTGTTCTCTCACTAGACTGCCACCTCTCAAATATACCTATTGAAAATGTGTAAATCTGCAGTATCACAATGTGTAATTTATAAAAATAGAAAGATCCTTTTAAAAACCTTTTTCTGTAAAAAATGTCTACGCCTATCTTTTTAAAATATGTAGGTATATCCGAGGATGGGACCTGGAGGGCAAGGCAGAACCTTGAAATCAAAGATCTGATGTCCGGACCCAATATTGTGGGAAAAACTAAAGCTGCGAGACTCCACCACTCGGAAACGTGGAGAAAATGGGAGTTTATCGTGCCGCGAAGAGTGTCTATTTGGGACAACCGAAAGGATACCAACTGGTCGGACTTCTCAAGTACCGCTGGAGTGATGAAGTCCAGAAAGACCACAAAGACCTCGATGCTAATGACTGCAAAGAGTAGGCTCAGGCGTGGCAGAATCTGGTGTCGAAGGCCAAGACCCACTTTCGTTTACTGCGCCACCGAAGTAAGTAAGCAAATGCGCATATCGGCTAAAAAGTACAATTGTTGCTTCCTTCCTACAAAATCTTGAGCTTGACACGTTTTCATGAATAAAACTGACAGTGCGTCATACTTAGTTTTGTAGACGTTAGCTAACACATTGCGTACACAAAGTACTTAATTAATAAATTTGAATTAAAAAATACTTACCCGAAACTCCGTAACATCACCCAAACCAGTATATTCTTGAGGCTGAATAGCTTCATTACCGTGATAAATAACTTCTTGAAATATATAAGGTTTCGTGTTAGGACGGAACCCAAATTCTGTGTTTAGATTATTAAGTTTGCCATAGATCGCGGCTAAGTCATTTGGCCACATGTGTTTGGCTGCGTCCACTCTAGAATCATGAAGGTTGAATTATTAACAGGTTAGTAAATAATTAGTGCATAGTAGGTCATCATTTTACATGCGTTGGAATAAATTTTGTAAATAATGAATATATGCAATAGTTCCAGTTTATAAAGGCGACGAAGAAAAAGTAATCAACACACACTGCATTAAACAAAAAATAATCCCAGTAGAGAGTACAAAAAATCGACTTCAAAAGTCATTCATCCCCTATTTTGCCACCCTTAGAGATGGAGTATTATATACAAACTTTTAATAGGACCACTACTGAGGTACCTACCCTCTTTCTAACAAAAAAGAATCATCAAAATCGGTTCACAAATAACATACATATCCAAAAAAACGTACAATCGAATTGAGGACCTCCTCCTTTTTTGAAGTCGGTTAAAAATATGCGCTCTGTTGTGGCTTTTTTAACCCCAACTTGCAAAATATTTACATGACTGGTCGGCTAATAGAATGGCAGACGCGGACTCATATAAGTACCATGGGCTTTGATTAGCTTTTATTTTATTTTTATTTATGGCACAATTATAGACAAGAAACAAACAAAAACACTTAAAAATGAATTAACTATGGTCAACAATCATCGGACAAAGTAGATATACTTAAACGACGCTAAATTAATTATCAATTTAAAAAAAACAATAAGAATACGTTATTCATCTCGCAATAATGCAAGAAGTGACCTCTTAAAAGCAGAGACACCACAGTGAAAGACGTCACAATTAGTAACTACGTGGGGCGCACTATAAGTTTCCGGAATTAATTAGAAACAAATACTATAAATGGTCAGAAATGAATTTATTATTTCTCAAAATATTCTCCGTTAGCGTTAACGCACTTTTTCATACGAATGAACCAATTTTGAAAACATTTGTGCCCCTCCTCGTTGACAATCTCCGAAACATATTTTTCATACTCTTCGACAGCCTCTTCAGGTGACGAAATTCGTTGACCGCGTAACTGGTTCTTAATTTTTGGAAATAAATAAAAGACACAAGGTGCCAGGTCGGGGCTGAACGCGGGATGGCTCATAAGATCAACGTTGTTCATCTTCAAAAATTCATTTGTCTGGCTGGCCGAGTGAGTACTGGCATTATCGTGGTGCAAGATGACACGGTGTTTACGGTTATTTTTACGGAGTTTGTCAATAACTTCCGGCAAACAAATGGTCGTGTACCAATCACTAATCACGGTACAACGGTTCTCCAAAGCAACATTAGCCACGTGTCCAGTTTTATTCAAAAAAGAAGCAATCATCCGCTTGGAGGCACTTTGCACGCGCGCCACTTTGGTTGGTTTCGGCTCATTTCGAAAGTCCCATACGCTCATTGTTGCTTTGTTTTGGGATCGTAACTATAAATCCATGTTTCGTCACCTGTTACTATGTCCCACACCAAATTTGACGCCCCTTTGTTGATCTGGTAAGCATGGCATTGCATTGATGCGATCTGTTTTTTAAGCCTCAGTGAAATTGTGTGGGATCCACCGAGAGCACAGCTTTTTCACACCCAAATTTTTGTGTAGTATTGATTATATTTGACTCATGCTTATGCTTGAACATGCCCAAATCTCATGGTATGTCACATGCCTGTCTGTTTTGATCATACGGTGCACAGCATCGATGTTTTTGTTGTTCACGGCAGTGGACGGGCGACCATCACGAAATTCGTCACTGAGATTCACACGACCGCGTTTGAATTCTGCAAACCAGCTACAAATAGTCGTCTTGCATGGTGCAAAGGTGCTTCATAGCCAAAAGCAGTTTGAAGTCGAGCGAAACTCCGCTAAGCTGTTAAATTACACTTAAAGTCGTAGAAAATCATACTACGAAAATTTTCACAATTTAAATCCATGGTGATGTAGACAACCAATTTCTAAAATGACGCTTAATGTAAAAACAACTTACAGTCAGATGAAACAAACTGTATTCTACAGCCAAAGAATTTTCAAATATTGTAATTACTTTTTAAATATTGTTTATGTAAGTGGCCAGTTGCGGAAACTAATAGTGCACCCTATGTACTCATTTCGTTATAATACGAGAACCTACACATCCTGTACTGAGAATTATTTTGTGATACGTTATGTTTAATATCATATGTTGTGACTTGACCAGGGGGTCTACTCTCGGTCTCCGTCCGACACTCGTCCGAAACAATTACTGCCAAATAAGCAATACTCGACCAAATGAAAAGACGCGTGATGCGAATGAAGCTTCATACTGGATACTTGTCTTTTAATTTTGTCGAATATTACTTATTTGACAGTAATTGTTTCGGACGGATGTCAGACGGAGATCGAGAGCAGCCCCGCAGATTTGTTTATTAAAAAAAATTTAACTTTGCCTTTTATTTTCACGCACAGAAAGCTGTTCCTCCAGTGTAATGAAAATCTATAAATCGGTATGAGCTTAACTATTAAGTCATTAAAGTTCTTAATTCGTTGTAGACTTTTGAAACAACTGCTGAGCCCGTAGCTTCAGCACTAGATTTTCGCACAATTCAAAGATTGTTAATAGGCGAAGTTTCCCAAGTCGCACAAGTATAATTATATAAATAGGTATACACAGATATGTATTGGTAATATTGGTGTTGTCTCTATCAGCCGAGACGCGAGCACGGGTGCATAAGCAGGAACTAGGCTGGAAACATTTCCACGGGGAAATATTCATATTTTGTAGTCACATGTTCATTCAAATAATAAGGTAAATCTTTAGATAAATATTTTTAATATAAACAATTTATTGCTCTTCCTTTCGAAAAAGTTGGTAACAAATTTATTTTTATACTATTCAAACGACTTTAACTAACTAACTACTATTTAAACAAACTAGGTTGCAAAATAGTGCCTCAG